CGAACTAGGTGCGTTCCTCTAAGTCTTCCTACCAATATGATCATGTTGCGAAAACAAGGTCAAACAACTTTTATACAACGAAATGAAAACTGCGACTACACAAAAGGCCACACCATCTTGGTCTTCATACCTTCGATAATAACTACGGTTGAGAAGGAACAAAAAATAGACCAAATTCAATAAATTACTCTATGCACTTAACGAATTCTAACTTAGTGCTAATAAAGTTGCAGCACAGCGAAAACGAAAACCTCGACTGAACCTGAGGGAAGATGCCAAATCAGTCCTGACGCTTACATTGTTCTGATCTTGCCCGTTTCTCTGATTACTCCAAATTTAATTGAGTAATAAGGCAGTTTATAGCTAATTATGCCTTCTAATAGCATGGTCGTTATATTGTTTTCGTCAGAGATATCCACAACCTCTTGCATAAAAAAATCGGTGCAAACAAAAAAAGGCAAGATGAAAAAAGGAGATGCCAGAGGAAAGTTGGTCGCAAATAAAAAGCAAAAAAGTAACACTTGGAAATCAAGAAAGGCGTTTCCAATGAGTATAGTTAATTCGAGTAAATAACTATACATTATATAGGTTCACGGAACAAGGGAATAGATAGACAGATACACATAACTGGCAGGAATTCGCCATCATGCAGAGTAGATCTAGCCTGGTTACTACAAATATCCACTGAAGATAGAGATAAGATCAGAGAAAGGTTAATAGTTAGCCTAGAGTAAAGGGTTTGAAATAAAATGGTTCGGTAAAGACAATGTCTGAACACATGCCGAACTGAGATAAAAAGAAGCAGTGTTGGGCTAGCCAATGGCGCTTGGGCGATATCTGGGAATCAGAGATTCGAAGTCCTTCTCTGTGAGTCAACAGTATATGTGCTATCAAACGCTAGTTGATCATGAGAAATAACGCTGTGTGAAAGAAATATAATTTAAATCGGCAGTTTGCGGAATTAAATCTACAAGTCGAGTCAATAAAGTGAAGCAAATATGAAGACCAAGGTGGTCTAGTCTTCAGCTTGGTCGCAATCTTATTTAGCTTTATAGTGTTGGTTAAAACTCGTTTGAGCTACTTGGACAGAGCGCAGGACTAGTTACGTTTCACAAGGTCTCCCTGACGCTCATACCAAGCTACGAAAACGAGATCAAACTAACACTATAAAGTAAACTGGCAGATGTGATAAAACTAAACTCGTGCATAAGGGCCCACATATAGAATAGCCTAGCATAAACAAGATTGATGTTGTGAGAAAAGAGTAAGATCCTAGGAAAGCTAGATGAATCAGGAGGAGACCAGGACGTCTCAGAATGTGCCAAGTCCACGGTATGACACTGGAAATTATGAAAACTACAACAACAAAGGACATCAGACAAGATGTGTCGAACTAAGTGACCCTGACAATAATAAGCACAATTTCAATATGGCTAAATTTATTTGCCACTACGAAATAAAATAAAAACAAAAATTGGTCGCAAAATCAAAACTAATACTTTGAAAAAACTCGCCTGAGAGACTTGAATTAATGGAAATATTTTGAATTGCCTGTTGTTGCTGCTGCTGCTGTTGTTGTTGCTGTTGAATTAATTGTAGTTGTTGTACCTGTACTTGTTTCTTTATTGGACCCTGTAAAGCGAGAGCCTGTTGATGCGGTGATTGTTGCTGGTGTTGGTGTTGTGACTGAGTTTGCTGTTGCTGGTGATGGGTTTGCCTTTGAAGTGCAGTCAAAACAGCCTCAAGATGAAGCTTATGTTGCTGAGCGGCAGCCAGCACATCAGGGCTTCCAGAAGCAGCAGCAACTGCTGCGACCTGATTCAATTTATTCATCACGGCCGCGGCAGCCATAGCAGCCGCTTGTGGATTTACATTTGTAGCTGCCCGATTAAGAAAGCTGGATAAGTCCATAGCCGTCTATTGGGATGGATTATTAAAAAAAATGAATAATTGTATGTTAGCCATAAGCCTCATTACACACAGTCCTATTTGCAAACAAGGGATAGTAAATGGCATCGTCAAGCATGATATTATGGGTCGACTCGCGTAGAGTGCTAAGATT